GCGACAGAAACTGCGGCGAACTCTGCAAAAAACGCATCTTCGCACGGGCAGCCCGTGCGTTGGCCAATTATTCTTTCACATATCAGTCTTGCAAATTAGTTACATGTCCTTTCAATACATGGCGAGTAGGAGGCTGTACTGACGATTCACACTCCTATCCGCATGCATAGTCCGGTCTGTGTTTACAGCTAAGGGATGAACCAGACAGAGACTGCACTATGAAAGACAGTTTGCATCGTAAAATATCGCCTTACACATGACGCCTAAGTACAGTCTTTCTGATCTATTATTTTATTACTTTAATTTAGAGTTACTTTAGGGTTTAGTTCACTTTAGTTTTTTCGGAAATCGCTGAAAGATATTCACCCTTCAAGGTTTCGAATTCAGCTTTCATATGTTGGTGCGTGAAATTTTTAACTGTTTTCCAATTGTTGTATTTTTGCATAGACAAAAGTGCAAAGCAGTAAAAATCATTAATAGGCAATCGTTCGATGGGCTGAATTTAGTTTTAGCTTTAGGCTCGAGGTTTTGCAGTACCGGTTCCTGTGTTGCCGGGGGAGAAACTTTCCCTCTCCCCCTCCCTTCCCTCTTGGATCCACCCATGTTGGAGCTATTGTAAATTTTTAGGATATACGCAATCAGAAGGATGGAATGCTTTTCCAAACATCAAAAATTCTTCGAATTCCCAAGAATTGCTCTTTGTTTTTTGAATTTTTTTTTTCTTAAATGCCGTAGTTCTTGAAAGTTGTGTGTTGGATAGCGCTTTTTTGTGGCTTTCGTGAATGATTGTTGTTGTTGTTTGCTCGTTTCCACGACTTTTTTCGATTGTTACAGGATACCACTGGAATCATTGGGGAAGAAAGCGGACAGAGTATCAGTGGCGAAGAGCAGCAGCTGCGCAGCATGCCGAATGTTAAGGTATCATTACCACGAATCAAAGCGGGGGAGGGGGGCTTTTTTGCGATTTCTTTAAAAATATCCTGCATTTCGGTCTACTTTTTCGATTATTCACAAGAAGGGGTGAGTCTTCTCGCTTTTGATAGAATGGGTCCTGTTTATCAATCAAAAACTCACTGGTTTTGACTCATTTTGCGAAATATAGTATAAGCTGAAGATAATCGCATTATATTTCGGTTGCATCCGCATCCGTGTTTTTACTGATTTTTCACGGCTACTTCTACAAAAAACCCATCTTTAGCTCTAAAATAATGTGTTGGTAATGGAAGCAGTTGCCCGTTTCGCTTTGAATATGCAAAATTTCTTTGTTCATTCGACAAATTTTGTACTTTTTTTAAGCTAGGGATAAATTACTCAATAATTTCGATGCATTTTTAACTGGGAATCGGTGCTGGACACAGTTTTGGTCAGGAAATACAAGGATTTCGTTTGTCACTGTTTGGTTCCCAGTCATTTTTTTTCCTTCGAAAATGATAATATGTTTTTTTTTTCAGGTTTTTTCCGGATCATCTCATCGAGACTTGACGGAACGAATCTGTGAACGCTTGCAGCTTGATGTCGCGAAAGCGTCGCTTAAGAAATTCAGCAACAAAGTAAATCTGCTTTTTATTATTAAATGTTTTTCCAATAAGTTATATCTCACAGTAAGTGATATTTGTCTCATTTTGTGATTTTTTCTGACATTTTCTGGTATCCAGGATCTTTTTTCTGAATTACGAGAGCCGGCATGTATCGCCTGAAGGAAATGTTAATACATTGTCTGGACCTTCAGTAATCCCTGGGCTGTAAACACATAGAATCGGTACGAAATGCGGTGGGAATCATCAGTACAGCGTCCCATTTCCCCATGTTAAAAGGAACTTGTTGATTACCGGAGGAAGATGAAGATGTAGACCTTTCCGATATTCGTTTGGTACTTTCTCAGTTTCTTTTATTCATTGAAAACGAGTAAATCTGTGCCTTCTTAACGGTGGATATTTTTCGTTTATGTTTTTTTTTGTGTGTTTTCAGGAAACAAATGTGGAGATTGGCGAAAGTGTGCGTGGTGAAGATGTGTATATAATTCAGAGTGCTTGTGGCGAGATCAATGATCATTTGATGGAATTGCTAATCATGATAAATGCCTGTAAGATCGCCTCGTCCTGTCGTGTGGCTGCTGTAATCCCGTGCTTCCCATATGCTCGACAAGACAAAAAAGTAAGTAACACTTCCAATATTCGTGCAAAATTCATAACAGTCGTATTGACTAATTCTGTGGACAAAACATATTCTTTCTGTTATTTCTCGAAAAAGCAGGAACAAAATCGCCAGCAGACTGACTATCCGCTGAAGCAGCAATGTTGCAAAAGGAACAAGGTGTTATCTGCAAGGAAACGAAGCTGCCAGCTAAACCGCTTCGCCTTGTCCAATTGCTCTTCGATTCCGTGGGATATGCAAATGTCATCCTCCTGATTCGATTTCCCTTCGCCCCTCTCTCCCCTTCCCCCCTCTTCCTCTACCTTCGTGAAATACAATGTGATTAGAAATGAAATGGGGGTTGTTTCTGCGCGTCAAAGAATTGTGCGCCAGCAGCTTGGAGCTGCTGTCGTTCTTCCCCCTCGCTTTGCTCTTCTTGTACGGTTGTAGTTTGGTGCTGCTGCCGGATCTTTCGTGGTTTGTGAGCTTTTTCTGTTGTTTTAATGAAGCTTTGTTCATCGGTTTGGGCGAGTGCCCCACAGCAGCGCATCCCCTACGGCCACGTAGTCCCTCCGGCCTTCTCGCTCGTTACAGGCCCTTCCAGTTCTCATCCTCCCGTTACAGCGGCGGCCACAACAACTTCTCAAATTGTACTTAATCGTCCGTTCCTAGTATTTTTACGGCAGACTCTTTTCCATCATATTTCATATCATTGGCTTTTCCACGAATCCTTTTGTCCCTACTATTTATAGCATTACTTTTCATTAAAATGTTGTTTCAGGATAAATCTCGTGCTCCGATCAGTGCGAAATTGGTAGCAAATATGCTGTCAGTGGCTGGTGCCGATCATATAATTACCATGGATTTACATGCTTCTCAAATACAGGTACCCATATGATTCTTCCGGGTACAGGTACCCATATAATTTTTCTGGGCAAAGGTGCCTGTACAGTTTTTCCGGGCAAAGGTACCCAGTTTTTCCGGGCAAAGGTACCCATATAGTTTTTCTGGGCAGAGGTACCCATATAGTTTTTCTGGGCAGAGGTACCCATATAGTTTTTCTGAGCGAAATTTTTTACCCGCTGATCTCTCCTTTGTTATTTGTAAAATATGACATTTACTGCAATTTTTGATGAAAGGAACAATAATTTTAATAGTTTTTGTGTTGTTACAGGGTTTCTTTGATATTCCAGTGGACAATTTATATGCTGAACCGGCAATCCTGAAATATATCAAGGAATCGATACCGAATTGGCAGCAAGCTGTTATCGTGTCGCCGGATGCTGGCGGTGCAAAACGGTAGCACATTTTTATTACTTTTATTCAGTGAATCGTGGGATTTTACGAAAAACTGAGTGTTTTATCAAGTTGGGACCAGGATTCTTCTCATTATTCACTTTTTCCGGGAGGGGGGG